AGGATTTTGGACAACTGGCGCCACGCTGCAATTCGGGCGCCACTTTCAAATACTGCATTTTTCAGTTCTGCCCTCGGGGCCTTTGCAGAAATGCCGTTGTGTCTTGCCACTGTGTCTCCGTCCGATCCTCAGTCCGAGTCCGTCGTGTCGAGTGAGTGAGTGTTTGTGTGTGCTCTCACTCTCTCCCTCTCTCTCCTCTCCCTCGGCTCACCCTCAGCCTCACGCTCGTTACACTTCCTCCACGCTTTGCGTATGGGTTCCCAAAAGGAAGATTTGAGTCTCCTTTTTCTGAAAGAATCCATGAAAAAACACGCCCAAACGTCCTTCGGTCGGCTCAGTCCCCATTCCCTACCCAGGATGTGTTCGGCTAGCGTGACCCAATGTTCTCTTGCTGTTGCAGTGGCCATTTTCACCAACCAACTGCGAAGTTGGGCCTGATTCCTGCGTGCTGGGTCTATTAGACCCAACCCGCCTTTCTCTCGTGGGAACGTCAGTGTGATCAAGGCCACTTTCGAAATGAACCCCTCCGAGTTTTGGGCCCTTGGTTTCCACAGGAACCGGGCAACCAACCTACGGATAGCCTTCACAACTCCCTCCGCCAGTTCTCTTACCGTGGATACAAACCACAGGATCGAGAATAGGGCCGCGTTAATTACCAGCGCTCGTCCTACGATCAAAAGATGCCAGGCTGTTCCCCAACCCCATAATCTTGCTGCGATCCGCTGTTGCAGTAGCAGGCCCTGGGTCGAGGCCCGAACCTGAAGGCTGACTAGGACTCCTAGGAACCTCTCTCCCTCTCCCTCGTCAATTCTTTTCATACCCCACTCTACTTTCAGCTGGAATTGCTTTGGCAACATGTAAGCTGATTTGCTCCAATTTACTGAGGCTTCGGAGAGATCTGAGTACTCACATAAAATCGACTTCAGCGTCGTAAGGGATGCTGTTGAATTCTCGCATACAGCGAAAAGATCATCCGCCAATGCTTTCACTCGGACTTCCTCTCCTGAATGCAGTTGCAGACCTCTGATGTCTGTGTGACACCGGATTCTGTTTAAAAGCACCTCCATTTGTAGCACAAAGACAAGTGGGGCAAGGGGACAACCTTGCCTGAGTGATCTAGAGAGAGCTAATGAGTCCGAGAGATGGCCATTGATCATCACCGCAGAGGAGGGGTACGTGTACATGGCGACGATCCAAGCACAATCGTCCATCCCCACCTTGTCATAGGCCTTCTCTAGGTCTAGCAAGAGGATGGTCGTGTCCAAGTTTTCCCCTTGAACAATCTCCAACGTCTCTACCGCGGTCACAATGTTGTTGAAGATCGACCTCCCATGCACGAAGGCACCTTGGTCCTTCTCGACCAACTCCGGTAGGTACTTTCCCAGCCTTCGGGCTAGTGACTTGGCCAAAATCTTGTAGGAGACGTTAAGCAGCGAAATCGGACGCCGGTTACAGACCTCGGCTTTGTCCCCCTTTTTGAACAACACCGTGATTACCCCGTGTGTCATGCCTTTCCCCAGTTTTCCACCTACTAGGACCTCATTGTACAGTTCAACGAGTGGCGGACCGAACACCTTCCAATTTGCGCTGTAGAACTCCACGGTAAGCCCATCGACCCCTAGGGACTTGCCACGTGCCATTGATTTGAGAGTTTGTGTTACTTCTTCCAATGTGAGAGGCCTGTCCAAGTCCAGTTTGGCCGCAGTTTGCAGTCTGACCGTCGTGTCGTCCCATAGATCGGAGGTAGCTGACAGGTCTGTGTTCACATCTTCATGCAATCTCCTGGTTGTCAGAATGTCCGCATAGTACATTCTTGCATGTTTGAGCATTCCGGAGGCTGTGCTGGCCGGCGGCGCTGTCTCGTCGAAGGGTTGTCTCAACTCTATCATCTGCTGTTGCGCCCTTCTTGGCTGCAGTTTCTGAAACGTCTCCTTCGACATGGTGTCATGAGTCTCAATCCCTTTAACCTTCAGCAGTTCTGGCCACCTCCGCTGTTTCTCTTCCTGTAGACTGTCCCACTCTGCTAGTCTCTTTTCTCTTTCCGCCGCCCACACCATAACTGATATTGGATGGCCTTCCATCTTTTCTTCCGCCTCTTCCACTCTTCTTCTGCAATCACCTTCCTTTTTGTTCCTGGACCTGGCTAGGATTCTGGAACAGACGTCCAGGATCCTGGATGTGATGGCGATTCCACCATCCAACCAATCTGCTGTTGATTCGAAGTGCGGCCTAGCCCCCTCCCATCTGCTCATGTGGTCCTCCACCCAGTCCTTGATGCCCGGCTCCTCCAGCACCTGGCTGTTGAGGCGAAAAAACCCTCTACCTCTCTCAATGCCCAGCCACAGTTTGAAGTCTGAAACCACCGGCTTATGGTCGGACATCGGGTTGCCGAAGTGCCTGACCACTGTTACTCTTTCCATGGCCTGCTCGCTCAGCATAAAGAAGTCTAGGCGGCGCATGGTTACTGCCTGCCTGTTCCTGTACAGGTTGGAGAACCAGGTGTAGCCTGGATCGTCCGGGTTCAGGATCGGGAAAGGGTCCGCCAGGGCCAGTTCGGTAGACAGCTCCAGGAGGGCTTGCATGTCCTTCCTTCCTGCTGAGGCTGTGCCCACTCGAAGAGCCTCGTCCAATGAGACATTCCAATCTCCTGCAAGGACGAGCCTGTCCGCCTTTGGTATCTGTGACATCATTCTGGCGAAGAACCTCGCCTTCTCTCCCACCGCAGTAGGTGCGTATATTGCCATGATGATCCACTCTTCATTCCCCACCTCAATCTTCACCCAAGCCCACCTTCCCCACATGTCAGCCTCCGAATCTATAACCAATGCTTGGAGGTCCCTATGCAGCAATATCCCCATGCCGCCTCGAGTTCCCTGCGCTGGAGACCAGATATGTGGCCCCTCCCACCATGAGGCCAATTCCTTCAGTTTTCCTTCGTTAAGCTTGGTTTCTTGTATCATAACGCAGTTGGCCTTCCACTCGTGTATACAACTTTTCAAGCGTTTCCTCTTGGATCTTCCGTTGGTATCACCTAGGCCACGTACGTTCCAGGAAACTGCTCTAATCCTGTCCATTAGCTTCCGATGTTCCCGCCTTGGATTGGATGCGGTTGCGTTCGTTGTTGCTTGATCTGTGCTTCACACTGCACCTGGATGAGCTAGCTCCAGAGGAGGTGCGCCATTCCTCCGTCAGACTGTTGGCCAAAAAGCTCGAGTGAAAGTTCTCCTCCGCCAATAGTTTCTCGTTAACATTCAGGAGAACCAATGCCGAGATACCCGGTAGCACCTGGATGGCTTCCAATTCTGGTACGTTTCGTTCCCTTATCAGATCCGTGGCCAGCCATCTGATACCCGACTGTGCCAGTACGCTTGCTGTATCCGACTGGATGCGTGCATCTAGTAACGGAAAGTACATTTTTGTGTACCCCTGAACTGTTTCGCAGAGTACGTTGACCATTGTGGAGTGTGGGATGATGCGGACAGGTACATGCTCCCCATATAGCTTTCGGGTGTTCTCTAGGATCATTGCCGGAGTGGGTGACTGATCCACCGTCATTGATGGGATCAACGGTCTGCCTTCATCGCCTGTGACCGCCAGGAAGACGATTCCCTCATCTGCTTTTGTGCAGAGTAAGGGAATTAAGCACCGCTGCACAGTCTCCATCTGATTCTTCTCTATCGTAGCCGCCATTTGTCTTTGTCCCAGCGCTGGTCCCCCCTTGTGTTTTGCCCAGCTTGCCTCTTTTCGCCAGTAGCTGCTGAGCTCTGCAGTGATGAAGAGCTCGCCTGCTCCTGGAGCTCCCCCCTGTCTTTTTCACTGCACTCACTTCCCCATCGCACCTTCGACCGTGAGGTCTCTGAGGTCTTTGATAGCTCCTCACGGATGGCGTGGATACCCGTATGAGGGACGCTCGGTGTCCAGCCACCTGTGGCTACCTCCTCTTCTCTGATTCCGCGGGTGTACTCCCCTGTCTTCTGTCTCCAGTCTTGTGTACCTTCTTCTCTGCATCTCCTATTGTCCTCCTTCCTTGCATCCCATCTAGAGCTGCTGCTTCTCCGTGTTCTTCTGCTGGAACCTCCCTTCTCCCCCCGTCTGGGGGTGTCCAGCGGTACAGGGGGCCTTCCTGATGTGAAGTTCCTCCAGTCGTACGACGCTGATGGGTAGCAAGGTTCTGGTTGTTCCACCTGTCCTGAGTGCCACTGTTGGGCATAGGGCCTTGAGAAATGTAAGTTGGACTCTTGTCCAGGGCACCAGAACTGTTCCTGCCACTGCTGCGGTGCGAGGTGACCAGTGGCTGAGCCTCCCATTCTGGATTCTCCGTACGGTGCTGCGTGGAACGCTGCCTCTGCACTATTCCCATGCCACTCTTCCCTGGGGGCCCAGTGGGGAAATGATGCAGATCCCATGTGAATATCTTGATATGCCTGTTCGCTGCCCCATTTTTGTTCTCTGAGCCTAGTCCTGCCTTGGATCAGGGCTTCCTCCTCTCTATTCTGCGGGAGCAGACTCCAGGGCCGTGCTTGCTGTTGAATGTCTGGGACACGTCCCATTAGGGACTGAGACGCTGGACCTGCTTCTTGTTGCTGCGCGAGGCTACGAGCCGCGGTGGTAGATAGATCTGGCATCTGGTGCCTCAGTTGCGCTGTGCTCGGATGGCCTGTTGGGCCCTGGCTCTGTGTTGGTCTTGGCCCCAGTTGTGTACCTTCGTTGGCGTTAGCTACTACTCTCGCTGTTGCGCCCTCCCTGGTAGCTTGTTCCAGTCCCTGCAGATGCTGTCTGAACCGAGCCCTGTGTCCCCCTTGTCTCTCCCCTCTCTCCCTCGGGCCTTCACCACTTTGGGTTGCCCTTGGACAGTTGTCCTCTGTGTGGTAATACCACTTACATCTACGACACCAGTCTGTATACGGGGAAGCGATATCCACCTTCCATTTCTCTCCTTTCGGTGCCTAGATTATCAAAACGTCATCTATCCGACTCCGTGCTTCTGGAGACATGTCAAATTTGACATTCATCAATTTGGAACGGTCCCTATCATATTCTGGTGAGTGCACTGCCAGTACCTCCCCGAACGTGTTACTTACAGCACTACAAAGGTAATAATAGGCCTCTAAGGGGACCCTGAGTGCCATGATCCAGAAGTTTGTTTCTGCTTCCTGGATCCTGACCTCTTGGAGTTCATGTTTGGATAGTCTAGGCCTAAACTGGACCTTGTACTCATCTGTTCCCAGTTTTATCGACATTTCCTTCTGCTGAATCAGCCATTCCGCAACTTCTCTCGCTTTGGCAACATAGGAGGCCACATTTGGTCCCTCAAACTTCACTCTGCCTCTTCTGAGCCCTGGTTGGAATAGCTTCTTCGCCGTCCACCCGTCCTCGTACGCCCTGATTAAGTCCTCTTTAACTGATCGCGCTAACTTTCTCGCTTCTCCTTGGAAAATTACTACCACCGATCTCTCCTTCAGCCATTGTTCCTTAACCTCCTCCACTGCTTCATCTACCACGAACCTCTTTCCCTCTTCATCCTCCACCACTTTTCCCAGGTTGACATCTTCTGGGCAGACCCCGTCATCGTAGCATCTACCAATCGAGTCACGTACCCGGGTAATATCATTCGCCATTGTGACCTGCGTTTCTGAAATGGAGTAGAACCATGTTGGCTAGCACCTGGAGAGGACTCCAATGCTATACTCTTCTGGATTGTCTTGCGCCCAAGGAGTGCTCTGTGTTACAATGGCCTCTACCTCTCTTCTCAAGTCCGATTTATTAACTGTCATGTGTTCGATAAATTACCGATCTTTCCAGTGCTTTCCAGCGTAACTCGCTCTTCTCATCTTCTCTAGTTGCACCTCCTGCTGACCAGGCATCCCTGTCCGTCTTCGTGTTGCTCCCGTGGAGGCAGGTATGCTGTCCTTACCGCCCACTTAGAGGTAAGATAGGTGTAGTTGGTCCCCTGTTCAGTGCGGCCACTCCACTCCTCACTCCCTCCCTTCTTACGATCTACTGCCTTTCCCTTGCGTTGTGCTTCTCCTCCCTCAGTGCCCATCTTCTTCGCTCTGTTTGAGTTTCCTGGGCCACCCTACTCCTTGAAAGTGTTGCGAGTCTAAATCCACTATCTGAGTGCTTTCCACAGCCGAAAGATACTGAAGGTGACAACGGATTCGCTACTCCGTGTCACTTACTTCCTTACCCCAGGAGCTTATATCAGCATCTGTTCCTGCAGATTAGGTTGTGGGAATTCGATGCAATTTCATCGGCGTTGTGCCCCTTTCACTCCATATGCTAGAGGTGCTGATATCCTGTAACCCGGCCTCACGAAAGTAGCTGCTCTCAAATTTCCAAGTAAAATACTCAAGGCAAGGAATACTATTACCCCATTCCTGGTTATCTGCTACTTGCCGCAGGTGAAACTTACGTGCTGTGGTAGGAAATCTTCCTTTCACTATCGCTGTGTCAGGAGTGATATCTCGCCTGTTCTCCAGCGCCGAGTAAGTTACTCAAATGCTAGAATTAGTGTTACCCAATTACCTAATTACCTCCCACTTGCCCAGGTAGGATATTCACGCTATGGTAGAACACCTTCCTCACCCTGACGCTGTGTCGGACGTAATCTTTTCGCATATACTGCGGTGAATTCGATGCCTGGGCCGCTTTGTTTCGCCCTCCTATGCCAAGCGAGCTCCGTGTCCTTTCACGGAGATTCGTAACCGAGTAAGATGTGAAGGGAACTTGTAGAAGCGGGACAATTCCCGCACGCCGTCAGATTCACCTCATTCCACCACACACACTTGTTTTACTACTCGTGAGATGGGCCTTTCTCCCTGCGCCGAATCCATCGCACTTAGGGAGCAGGGCGTGCACGGCGCCTCTACTTGTATACAATTCTGAATGTTTCTCGTGCACCCACTGTTCCCATCTCCAATTGCCCTAGGATCCGAGGTAACTGAGAGCACCTTTCCCTTTCACTACGTGTAAATGACCGTGGTAACTGGCTCACCCGGTTTCTTGTTACTCTGGCAACCGACATACATCGTCGAAGCACGGTAATCCTCGTTTCTTCCAACCTAATCCTACCATAGCTATGGACTACCTAGACGACGCGCCTGCTTCCAGGGCAAGCCCAACCTCCGATGAGAAGGTAAGCAGGGCGCCTCCCGGCCTTCGTCTTGACGGCGGAGGTTCCGGCCAGGTAGCACCGCGAGCGCTAAACCGCTAGCGGTGACGGAGTTACTGGAGCGCTACGCTGCCCGCCCGGTAGCGCTGTTCCCCCCGAGGCAGGTACTCTTGTCAAGCTCAAATTTTTAAGTTATATATGAAGTTATGAACTTAAATTACTAAATCCAAAGTTCAAAGTTCAAAGTTAATCATACTTTTTTTTTTTTTTTTAATTCTCTGTTTCTTTAGTCTTGTGCCTGCTT